TTACGAGACACTGACAGACTATCGGACACCAAGGTCTCAACTTTCCTGGGGGACTGATGAGCAAAAATCTGAACTCCCACCCTTCACGTGACAAAGGGGTACTCGAGTGCCTCCAGAATGACAGCCTTTTCTTCCAGTAGGTCAGTGACCACCCAAGATGTTGGCAACTCAAAGATAAATCCTCTGATACACATTAAAGTTAACTTTTCTTTTGTTGGCCTTTTGTTTATCTAGCTGAATTTCCTAATCCACTTCACCACTGAGAAAAAAAAAAAGGAGGGTCAACACCAGGGGGAAAACAGATTGGCCAAGACTGGGGCCAGACTGCTTCTTTCAGCAGCAGCCCTGGCTTAATATAATGGTGAGCCTACAGCAACAGCACACACCTTCAACAACTTCAAAACATGTATTATCCCTACTTTACACAAAAAAGGCTGGAACTATATTCATATTATCTAAGTGCAAAACTCCTATCACCTTCCATAAGAGCACAATTGGACCAAATGTTGACAGTTAAACAAAAAAACCCATGACTTGAACATAAAAACTAGGAAAAAGTCTGCCAATACATCACCTTCATATTTATGTTATTTCAGTTTTGCTGCAACAAACAGTACAAAAAAACCAGAGACTGCTCCTTTTTCAAGGAGACATTTCAAGCAGGCTGCATTCTGGAGTTGGTTCTGCTTGTCAGTATTTCTTTAAAATTAAAGGGCAGAGTCACCCATCAGGGTAAAAAAAGTGCATTTTAAAACACATGCAAAAAATATGAATTCTTTGATACTTTATGGTCAAACATCTGCTAAACTACTGCTTTCCTTCAATTATGGGATTCTCAAAGCAACAATTATATCTATTTTCCTCAGAATTTGGGGGATATAATCAGTACTACCAGAAATCAACACAGTCTCTCTATATATATCTTTATGTTTTGCCAATGTTGGAACAAATGAGACAAGGACACTGACTAAATATGGTAAATCTCCAGCTTGCCAGCACCCAGCACTTTCTAACATTCAATACTGTTTGTTACCTAGGAATCCATTTCTTCGAGGTGGTGACCATTTTCAGTCTCTGCTGACTTCTGGAAATCCAGGTCACTCTGTGTTTCATTTTTCTTCTCTCCCTGTCACTAAGATAGGCAGTAAAGTTACTACCTCATTGTAAGGAGATCAAAGTAACTGAAAACTTTATTTTTGACCCAACACCTTCATATCTGGGAATACACTGAGAGGGAGAATGTTGGGGAGTTTCCCTCTTCAATAGAAAATCTAACCTTTTCTGTACTGTCCTTTTTTTGCTGTAAATCAGATGGAATCTGGAAACTTGACATCCTGGCGTGTTGCCCAGTCATGAAGAAGAAAGTAGAATTTTATCCACAAGATCACAAGGTACTGAAAAGGCTTTTGCATATCATCCAACTGTTCCATATCTGAGCTGAAGTGGGAAAACCTCATAAAATCAAATAAATGAGGAAAGCTCTGCCCACATCCCAATAGGTTTTCAACCCCATAGGAATGGGTGAGATAGAAGACCCGCAGGAAGAGACACTCCTGGTATAATGAAGTCAGTTCTGGCTTGGACTTCAAGGCTAAAATACTGATACTGATACTATTTAGGTCTTCCTATTCCTGCACTGAAGGATTGCAGATTTTTTTCCACACTCACATGGTGTATGCAGAAATGGAAAGTAAGCAACCCCAGCATGCGCTCTGGCCATTGGGTCACTCTCAGGAAACACTGGTTTGAATTTCCATGGACAGAAGGGAAAATAAACCCTGAATTTCAAGCATCCAAAACCAGGTTTCTAAATTGCTATTAGGCTATTGCCATGATAATGAAAAGTCCCTCAGAGCATTAGCTCTGAAGGGCTCTGCTGAGCTCCAGGAGGAGCTGAGGGCACCAAGGACCACCAAGTCCAGCACCAAGTTTTAAGTTTCTGCCAATATGGTTTACTCAGCTTATCAGGTCACAAGCCTGGGTAAAAATCATGGGAAGGGAGGAATACAGGACATAACTGAGAAAATGAGAAAACCAGAAATGGTCTCCTGTACTTCCTGCTGGGATGGGGGAGTCATCCTCTCTCATCTTAACCCCACCCCTCCACCTTAAAAGACAAGAAGTCCAGCCAGTGCTGTCCTCTGGTGCTAAGTAGGCATCAGTAATGTCACAGAAGGGATCTGTTTGGACTATACAGAGTAAGTGGTTTGTAAACTGAAGGGTCTGAAACATATCTTGATAGGAACACTGACTTAAAATATGCAATAAGTATCAGGTTAATACTAAACAACTTCAGGGATGATCTGCATAGTCCACTTTAGAGGCAGCTGTGAAGGAACCCAGGAACCATCATAGAGCTAACATCTGATGGACAGTCCTTGGCCTTGAACATATCCCTCTGCCAAAGCTCAGCACAGCAGCAGATCTCCCCAGTTTGATCTCATGCAGCAACAGCAGTTAAGTTGCACTATTTTGATTACCGGAACACTCACATTCCTGCAGCTTCTTGGCTAAAACAAGACATATCAGAACTGCTGATAGACTCTCACTGAGGGAAATTGTTCCAATATTTCTGATGGTATTTAGGGCGGCCTTCTATCCCTTTTTCTCAGGAATCATGGCTAGGCTTCGCGAACGAAGATTTGGGAAGGCTCTATCCACATTTGCTGCAGGCACGCTGGTGGCTTATGAGGCCAATACGTGACAGACAAATCCGATTGCAGAAGGCACAGCAGAAAGACTCCTTAGATGGTGTATCCTGCAATACACGGTTCTTTCTGCGTTGCCTTTTTTCCTCGAGGGTGATCCTGCGTGAGTTCTCGAAGGAGATAGCTGCGTTATAGATGGTGTGTCTCCAGGCCTCCCGATTTGAGGCCAGAGACTGGTTAGAGTAGAGGAAGCATTTCTGGGAACAAATATCTCAGAAGTGATAAGGCAGTGGTTTTAATGTGCAACTACACATTTTTTATTCCATGTTTGGGATGAGTGGGAGTTTTAGGACAGGCACTTTTCTGACCAGCACACCCTCCAGTGCTGCTGCCCAGAGAGACTGGTGATGAGCAGTTCTCACCAGAAATTTCCATCAGCCAGGCGGACAGCCCAGAAATCGGAAGAACGAGAGCCAAGAGCTCACCAGGCACCAGCTACCCCACATAACCTTCTCAAGCACAAAAACCTGTCCCAGCTTGCACAGAACAAGATGAGACCAGCAGAAATCATAACAGCCAGAAACAGGATAGTCAGAAATCAGAAGGTAAGTAATTGAATCAAAATTATTCCAAGTGTGAGAAACTGCCCTCTCTCTCATGAGAGATCTCACTGCCATGAAGTCTTCTAGCACCAACATGTGCATCTTTTCAGAAACATGGTAGATCTCAGAGGAAAGTAAAAATGTCAGAAAGAATAAATGTGGGCTTTTTAAACATTACTCAGTATAAACCAGCACTGGATAACAGAATCTTATCTTTCAAGGCATTACCAGCCACAACTACTAGCCTGACCATTCAGTTGCCAGTATAAGAACCTTAGAGATGAAAAAGTAGGACACGATCAGCCTCTGTGAGCATTTTTAACATGTAAATTCAGTATCTCTCTAAAAGAAAAAATGCAAATCTAGGAGTAAAACCAGGCAAGTGCAAATAACTACATGGCTAAGAAAGAGAAACAAAAAACAGACTTCTTGGGATGTGAAGATGTTTGCCAAGATTAAATTGCAGGTTATCTTGGAAGGTTCAGTAACACTTGCTCAACACCAAAAATGTCTTTAAAATTTTAGTTTCCTTTTTGGGAAGCTTGTAACAGGACTGGAAAGGATACAAAATAAGTTGTAGGCTTAAACTTTGCTGTAAATATTCTCCTATCAAAGCACTAAACCTTACACATATCATGATACAAACAGATATTATTAACGGTTTTAGTTGTTTTGCATTTTAGGCATGTCTTTACCTCAATATAACATGAGTACCTCAGACAAAATTTACAGCAGCAATTTTGTAAACCAAGTATGATTTATGTGAAACGTGTCTTAAATTATCCAGTTTTACTTGCATTTTGAAGAGCTATATAATTTTTCTAAACAAAACAGCTTTTATATATTGTTTCATTTCAAACAGAAAGCTCACTATCACAAAAATTTACAATTCATAAAAAATTATGAGCATCGTGTTATCTTTTATTTCCTAAACTAAATTTATTTTCTCATAAAGGAATATGAATGCTTTTGAAGTGGTCTAGGAATAAGTTTAGTGGGTTTTATGGAAAGAAGTCATAGAAGAAGGTTATCATCTGGCCTTTAAATAAAAATCCTGAGAAAGCCCCACATCAGTATGTACAAAAAGAGATCCTTATAAATCATTTTGTTTGTAGGCAAGCTAATTTTTGGGGGCTCAAAAGACCAGAATTTTGTTGAGCCCAGCTAATGGTCATTCTTGTTCCTCAAGTAACATATTGTACATTATCAACTAAAAGGCAACACACAGTTCAACAACAGGTAAATGACAAAGACTTTCCAAGGTGAGCATGAGAGGGGGAATGGAAGGAAAGGACACAGAGATACCAATGGCCATACATAGCAAGGAGCTGGAACTTCCCAAGCTCAGCACAAGATACTCCTCCTTTTCCTGCTGTCTTGTTTTTTACCCATGTGAAGGGCTGAGCTTGGCAAGATAGGGCATGGCAAGAAAAGAAGAAATCACATGCAAACTCAACACCCCACAGAAAACTTCTTTCCTATCAACCACAGTGGAGGACCACGTGGTTCAGCAGTGTTAAACAAAAGGGTATAGACGTAATGGAGAGTGAGTTCAGGAATCAATTCTAATTCTACAAGCCAGTTGATAAATACAAACTGCATCATTCACAACCACGACATACAAAAAAATCCCCCAGAAAAACAGTATCTTGTTTTGCAGAACTGTTACAGCAGGAAGAAAACCACAAGGGGTGTAATACAGTTTGGTGTTAAAAAGCAAGTGATATGTAATTCCAAAAGGAAGACTTACCTTCTGGAGGAGTTGCAACACTGTTCCCAAGTCCCAAAATAGCAATGCTCTGATTCCTTGGTTCCAGCATCATTGCAAACTCTTCTCCTCTTTCCCAGTGCGGTACTTTCACAGGCTCCAGATGCACATTTTCCAGCCCATCCTTCTGCAGGGCACTGAACATATATTTGATGGCTGCATCTAGGTTTTTTGAGCCACTGAGTCTAGGTCCTATGGTATCAGCAAAAACTGCTAATCTTTCATAGGATCTGTTCTGAGCCTTTCCATGAACAGCAAGATCAATAATAGCCTTAGCAATATCAGTATAGCCAGCTATCTCATTTTTAATGTCTTCAAATGATTTCGGGTAACTGCCACCTCTTCTTAAAGGTTTCCCAGCATACTGTGATAATAAATTCATGAGAAATACTAGGAATAAGTACTTCATTTTTTTCTCTTTTTTCTTTTTCACAGATGGCCTGTTGGAGAGGCAAACAGAAAAAAATATTAAAAAATTATACAGGTATCAGCAATACTTTTTGTTATTTGGATTGGCAGACAGAAATGAAAATAAATCAATTTATCATGAAAATGCTTTGATCAGAACTAGCAGGAAAGTAAACTCAACTTGAAGACAGAATTATTGAAAGCAAATGAAAAAGATAATCAGACCACTGGACACAATCTTTGTTGTGGTCTTTAGAAATATCCTTGGAATGCTGCATCTCTTTAAATTATCACATTCTTCACTGAATCAAAACCCAGGGCTGCTCCCATCCAGGAGGAGCTTTGTATCTCCTTTCTATTTGGAGCAGGAGTTGCCAGAAGTGCCAAATCAAATGCCTTTCTTTACACAAAACATCCAGACAAAATCTTTTCTTAAACCATTCATGAATAAAAGTGCTTCTTCACCTTCATCATCAGGAAAGCACTTTCTACTGCGCTAAAAAGATGTAAGAGTGACTTAGATCCAATGCCCCCAGTGTCCTGGTTTCAGCTGGAATAGAGTTTGTTTTCTTCTCAGTAGCTGGTGCAGTGCTGTGTTTTGGATTTTATATGAGAATAATGTTGATAACACACTAATGTTTTGGATGTTGCTAAGTAGTGCTTACCCTAAGTCAAAGACTTTCTAGTGTCTCGTGCTCTGCCATGAGGATCTGCACAAGAAGCTGGGAGGAAGCACAGTCAGAACAGCTGATTCAAACTGGCCAAATGGGTATTCCATACCGTGTTCAGTACACAAACTGGGGGGATTGACTGGAAGGGAGTGATCACTGCCAGGGATGGGCTGGGCATTCTTCAGCAGGTGGTGAGCAATTGCATCACTTATTTTTCTTGGGTTTTATTTATTATTATCATAATTATTATTATAATACTTTACTTCTCTTCACCTATTAAATTGTTCTTATCTGAACCCATGAGTTTTTGTTCTTCTTTCTCCTCCTTGTATGACTGAGGGGCGGGAGGGGGAGTGAGTGTGTATTGGCATGGTATGTAGTTACCATCTGGGGTTAAACTAAGCCAGAATACTAAAAAAACTTTCTTTGGATCCTGCTCCCTCTTTCAGGGCTTTATCCCACAGGACTTTTATCAAGCAGATCTCTGAAGAGGTCAAAGTCTTCTCTCCTGAAGTCCAGTGCTGTGATCTTGCTTTTTGGCCTGCTCTTAGGATCCTGAACTCCATTATCTCATGGACACTGCAGCCAAGGCTGCCTTTGACCTTCATACCACACCAGCCCTTCTTTGCTTGTCTGAAGTCCATGAAAGCACCTCTCCTTGCTGGCTTCTCTATACCCTGTGTCAGGCACCTCCTGGATTGCTTATAACCTGCTGTGATGAGCCTCCAGCAGACCTCGGGATGGTAAAGTACAGCATAAGCATCAGGACCTGTGAATGAGAAGCTACTTCTAGCTGTCAAGGCCTCATCTACTTGTTTTTGCTGATCAGGTGGCCTATAGCATACAGCTACTACAAAGTCACCCATACTGGTATGCTTTTTAATCCTTATCCATAAGCTCTCGGTTCATCATCCATACCCAGGCAGAACTCCAAGCACTACAGTTGTCCTCTCACATGGAAGGAAACTCCATCTCCTTTTCTTCCAAGTCTGTCCTTCCTAAAGGCCATATATCCATCCGTTGCAGCATCTCAGTCATGTGAACTATCCCTCCACATCTCCATGATCCCAGCAAGATCACAGCCCTGTAACTGCACACGGATCTTTCACTTCTTGTATGTATTCCCCATGTTGTGCATATTAGTGTACAGGCACTTAGAAGCAAAGACTCATCAATGGAAACAGAAGAGGCAACCCACAACATTTATGAGACCTTCTGATCATCTCCCAGAAAGGGGGGATGACCCACCAGGCATGCATCCATAAGACACCATCTGAAACACTGCCTGTGCAACGCAGAAATAAGGCACAGAAAGAGTGAAAGTATGAAACCACATTTCTAGGATCCATAACCCATCCAAATTCAGAAACAAATGAACAAACAAAAACGCCCCAATACCCACAAAACACACACACACAAGCATTTTGGAGTCACCATCCTAGCTCATATGATAACCAGCACAAATTTCCAGCCTTCCATAGGCCTTTATGGGTCTTTTCACAAATAGCAATTTAACAATAGCTTTAGCAGTATAAGAACATTAAGCTATTCTCCTTAACTATTCAAATGTCCTCTAAAATTGAGATCAAGGAAATAACAAGTTCTTCACAGTGTAGTGAAGAACCATGTCTGAAACCATCTCTGATTTCATCTGTGAATGACAAATTTATCACAGAGATTTCATCTCTCTCTGTGAGACAGACAGGGCAAAGGTCTTACACAACCAGGAGCAGAAGACTTGGGTTATCTCAGGACACTGCCTGAGAACTGAAAAATTCCATTTATAATATGACTTACTGTTTATTTTTGGTTATACTACACAGAGGGTATCAGTGTATTTTTATTGCTATGCTCTGCACATTCTCCATGTTCTTTCCCTTTGGACCAGTTAATTACAAGCTCATAGACATCCTCTGCTAGAGACATCAGTAATTTTCTCAGGATGACCGTGCTCATTTTCGCATGATGATTTTTGCCAAGTTCATCATGCACAAAGAAGCAACCAAGATAATCTGATTTCTGCCATAAGAAATTCTTGCTGAATGGAGTAAGACAAAAACTTTGTAGAGTTAGTTTCAAAAACCTAAGGTTTGATATTTTGTTTGTTTAAGGGTTTGCAAAATCTACCAGACAAAGCTGACACACTTAGCTGTTACACAGAAAACACAGGGGGATTGTTTAATTAGCACTGACCACCTCAAAGAGCTCCCAGTTGCCAACTTTATGCATTTTTTCAGTGAAGAAATGAAACTGCAGTTATCACATTTCCCTTAACTAAGAAATGCTTTCTTTGTTTTTTCTGGCCTCATTCAAAACCAGCAACATCCTCACTCCAAAGGCTGCCCCAGAGGATCTGCATTTAAGCACTGTACTTCTTCCAGGAACTTCCCACTGAACACTGAGAACAGACATGTTTCCACAGCTTTTGTGGATGTAACATACTTTTGCCTCACACAGCATTTTACTACCTGCCAGTGCATTGTAACTTAATTCAAACCCTGGGCAAGGACACAAAAATGGGAACGTAATTTATTGTGCTTTCCTTGAATAGTCCAGCATAATCTGTTCAGAAGCAGCTATCAGAAATAATTCCCTCCTAGGTAAAACAACATCATACTTGGACTGAAATACAGGAATCACTCTACTGCTATCTCAGGGAAAGATTGCACACCTGTTGTCCCAGTGTCTGCAACTTTATCACCCCCCATGAATCATCCAGGAAAGGAGATTACTTATTTTTGCATATCTAACTAGTTAAGACCCAAAAAATGAACATCACAGTGCCAGCCAAATAAATAAAAAATAATAGGACAGTCAAAATTGATCAATGGATTTAATTGTTCATGAAGCAGATAGGGGCCATCCAGCCATGGCAGTACATGGATCCATACTCAGAGGGAAGAGAATGGTCTGAATGTAGTCCACAGAAGAGAGAGATTTCATCCTACAAAATCCTAGCAGAACATTTCAAAGGGGTCTGGAGCAAGGAAGACACACCCTTGGTGGAGGAAGACCAAGTTAAAAAAACTACATATATAAATCCATGGGGCCTCATGGTTTGCATCCACAAATACTGAGAGCTGGCTGATGTCATTGTGAGGCCACGCTCCATTATATTTATATATATTATATATGTCACTCCTATCTTCAAGAAGTAAAATGTAGGGAACTACAGATCAGTCAGCCTCACATCAAGCTCTGGCAAAGGAACAGGAGAAAAGTTCTGGAGATTATTTCCAAACATAGGAAGGACAAGAAGATGACTCAGAATAATTAGCATGGATTTACCAAGGGGAAATTGTGCCTAATCAACATGATACCCTTCTAGGACAAAATTGCTGGCTTGGTAGAAGAGGGGAGAGCAGTGGGTATTGTTTCCCTTGACATTAGGAAGACAGTTGACAGTCTCCCTAAAGGTTTCAGGGAAGCTGGTAAAGCATAGGTTGGAAGATATACTACATAGATATATATGTATATAACATAAATATATATGTATATATGTATATAACATATACTTAGACAGTGAAGTGGGTTGAAAATCGGCTGAACAACTGAGCTCAGAGGATTCTGATTACCTGTGTGACATCTAGTTGGCAAATAGTAGCCAGTGGTGTCCCCTAAAAGTCCATACTCGGTCCAGTACTCGTATATATCTCCATTAATGATCTGGATGCTTGGACAGACTGTGGCCTCAATAGACTTGCAGATGACAGGAAGGTAAGGAGAAGTGCCTGTGTACACAATGGTTGTGCTGCCACTCAGAGTGCATGAGAAAACAGGCAGGGGGGAACCTTAGGAAGTTCAACAAGTCCTGCATCTGAGGAGGACTAACCACCATGCCCTAAGACAGGCTAGGGACATCCAGTTGGAAAGGAGCTTGGTAGAGAATGAGTCAGCAAAGCAACTTCATGCTGGCAACGACCAACAGCCTGCTGGGCTGCGCATCAGAAGTGTTGCCAGCACATGGATGTTATCTTCCCCCTCTACTCAGTGTTTGTGAGACAACACCTGGAGTACTTCTTCATTTCTGGGCTTCCAAGTACAAGAGAGATATGGACATACCAGAGAGTGCAACAAAGGGCTGCAAAAGATTATTAAGGGACTGGAATGTCTATCCTATGAGAAGTGGCTGAGAAAACTGTGACCGTTCAGCTTGGAGAAGAAAAGACTCAGGGAGGTTTTCATCACTGGGTATAAATACCTGATGGGAGGGAACAAAGAAGACAGAACCAGGCTCTTTCCAGTGGTACCCACCAACAGAACAAGAGGCAAAGGACAAAACCTGGAACATATGAAATTCCATCTGCACACAAGAATGCACTTTTTTTTTTTCCACTATGAGGGTGGTTAAACACTGGAAG